CTTCCTCAATGTATCCTACCATTAACTAAGCAAATTTGAGCATTGTTGATGAATTCATAAACCAAAGAAAAATATAAAGAAGATAGATAAGTATAGGATAAAACCATGCTTCCTCAGCACAAATTCCATTGTCATAGTTGACAAACTACTTCCATAAAAGATATCAAAACTTAATCTAAAGATGAAGGAAAATTTAAGAAGATTTAAATATAACTTCATTTTCAAACAAGATTTTCATTTCCATATAGGCTTTTGTTTTGTTCATTATGGGAATCTTTTCAAAAGCTTGTGATTTCAAATGACAGGGTAAAATGCAAATTTTGTCAACCAAAACAAGGAACTCTAAGTGGAGAAGCATATCTTGCAAATAACACAAAGTTAGAATTGTCTCCTACTAGTAACTCACACTTGAAATATTATGACAATCACAATTCCACTTGTGCTTAAAATAAATTGCAAGTTTATTCTAGTTCCCCGACCACATAGCTTCCAAGTCTACCAGTAATAGGATAAACTATAATTAATATATGCATTGAACAAATCAAAGATTTACTTCCCTGTAGACTTAAAATTAGTAGAACAATAGTCCAATACAATGCCCAAAGGAAACCTAAATAGAGTCATTCTTAAAAATTGCTAAACTTAGACCTTAATACAATACACTACTGATAAATGCTGCAACATAGCAATCCATTCCTCCAAGTAGAACATTCTAATGTTCTTGAAACTTTCATAAATGAATAAGCATGACAACGCTAGAACTAATGAAAAAAGTCCACTGGAGGGTAGTGAAATGCTCACAGGAACCAAAAAATAATGCGAACGTATTTTCCATGATGTATATCATATGAACAACACTGTACAAATTATTGCAGAAAGAAGGTAGAAAACTTACTCCTATTGCATTCGCTTCCACCATCGTAGTAGTAAGGAGAGGAATTTTTGTATTTTCTCAAATTTGTAGTTGATTTTAGTGGGTATTGTAGTGAAGTTGATAAGATATAAAGGAGGAGAAGAAGACTTTAATTTCAAATGGAGAAGAAGGGTTTTACGGTGGAGAAGCAACGAGAGAAATGAAGGAAATGGGTAGATTTTGGAGTTAAAAATTGAAGGACAATTTTATTATTTTACCAATTAAAATATTTTGAATTTGGGTCAAAGGCTATTTATCCAATGGCTAGACTATTTGGCCAAATTCCCCAAACTAAAACGTAAGTTACGTAATAACATGGCTTTCGGCTAGATTGAAGTCATACATATTGATCTGAACGCGGAAAACCCAACAAGAATGGAAATGGCTCTCGGCTCCAACGCCAATCCGTTGTTACCTCTCTCTGGAACTTCGATTCCTTCCAATTATGCTAATAGAAATCTCAAATCATTTTCTGATTTCTATAATCCAACCTTCATCCCCAAATTCTCTGCAAAAAAACCGTTGTTTATTTGTAATTCGCGCCAACCATTCTCACTAAGAATCAGAGCTCAAACTTCAAACGCCAGCAATGTTAATGTTAACGAAGATCAAATTTCCGATTTTATCATCGAAGACGTCCCTCACTTGACAAATTTTCTCCCTGATTTACCGGTATTTCTTGCTCAGTAACTAAAAGAATGCGTTTCAAATGTAATTTATCAATTTCTTAAAATCAGAAGTGCCCTATTTTTTTTTCTTGTTGTTTTCTTTTCAGTCATATCCAAATCCATTGAAAAAGAGCCAAGCTTATGCCATCGTCAAGTAAGCTATTTGTTGATGAAAAAGTAGAGATCTTTCTTTAAGGTGTCATTGTCGTGGTTTAGATTTTGGCATGCTATTATGAGAAATTTGATGGTTTTTCTTCTTATGCACTCGTGTATTATTTTGTGACAGGAAAACATTTGTCAGCCCTGAAGATATGGTGACACAGAAGGCATAATAGTTTTTGACTTTCATCTTCTTTTTATAGTTAATAAGCGGAGATGAGTTTATGCAAGTTAATTGATGTCGTGTTTTGTATTCAGATTGTTGTTCAGAAGGAAAGTCCTAGGGGAGTACACTTTCGACGTGCAGGGCCTCGAGAAAAGGCACTTAAAGTTTTCCAAATAATATTTGGATATTATTATTATTATTAGTTACTATAATGGATTTGGATATCATAGTGTTCTTGAATGGGTGTGGTGTAAACGTTTTCTTTATCTGATTTTAGGTTTATTTCACTTCGGAAGAAGTGCGTGCTTGTATTGTGACATGTGGGGGTTTATGCCCTGGAATCAATACAGTGTTACGCGAGATAGTATGCGGTTTGAATTATATGTATGGAGTTGATGATATACTTGGAATTCAGGTTAGTTTTATAGATTCACACATGCTTTTCTTCTTATTCACGTATACGTTGAATTAATGAATGCAATTTTTTCTTCTATTAATATAAAGTAAGTTACTAAATTGTGTCATATTCGTGGTTTCTGTGATTATCTTCCATACTTTACTGAGATGCAAGTTTAGTCTTTCAAATTTAACAATAGTTTTGTTGGATACGACCTCTGCAAGTTATCTTAATATCATTTTGATGTTATTGATCTTGTAATGTTAAGATAACTCCTGTTGGTCATGAGTCATGACTAAGATGAAACTAATGAAACCCTGTATTTTATCCTCTACTTTGAAATGCTCCACCAAGGTTTCCAAAACCAACAAGGTTATGGTATTTATAAAGAATCATGTATAGATGTCTATGCATGAACTAGCTAACTTTCAAGTCAGCTTAGTTCACAAATTGAAAAATTTCAGGGAGGATATAGAGGGTTCTACTCTAAAAATACCATTAAATTGACGCCTAAAGTTGTTAACGATATCCATAAGCGTGGTGGCACCTTCCTGCAAACTTCAAGAGGAGGTCATGATACCAACAAGATAGTTGACAATATTCAGGACCGAGGGATAAATCAGGTGAATTTCATTTTCCTTTTCCATTGGCTTGATCATTGATCTAAGCAAATTGGAATTTTTTTCAGGTTTACATAATTGGAGGGGATGGTACTCAAAAAGGAGCAGCTGCAATTTATAAGGTAATTATTGAAAGCTGTCATTTTCTATCAATTTGTTTTTCTGTTTGATAATATTGTGACAAAATGTTTTGCACTCTATTTGTCAAGGAAGTTGAAAAGCGTGGTCTTAGAGTTGCAGTAGCTGGGATTCCAAAGACAATTGATAATGATATTGTTGTAAGTTCCATCATCTGTAGTTCTTAATATTTCAGTCTGGTTGGTAAAATTGATAAATGTGCCTTTTGGTCTTTGCTTTCAATTCTGTACCCCTTATCATTAATGTTATTAGTTCCTTTCCTTATTGTTATAGGACACTAGTTGTCATCTCTTAGAGCCTGTTTGAGCCCCATTTTTTCTCAAAAATGCATTTTGGAATAGTGATTTGATGGAGAATGTGTGGTTGAAAATAAGAGAGAAAAAAATATATTTTGAAAATAATAGGGACCAAACAAGTGCTTTAATGGCAAAAGGAATAGGATAAAATTTAAATCAAAAGCTGCTCTTGAATAATTCATTACCTCAGATATAGTCATCTGTCTCAGCTTAACTTACTTACATTTGGCTTGTCCTAGTTGATCTTATAGTAAGTTTGATGTGCCAGGGATCGAGGATTTTGACCCCATTAGATGCAAAATCTATTTACGGGTTTATATAAACACGATCCATTAGTAAACCCATTCTTGTATCACTTTCATTGGATTTTGTCGGAAACAAATTTGGTATGAGTTGCCTTTGGTGAATTCTCTATGTATACCTGAAGTTTGATAGATATCTGGAAGCCACCTACTGAGTTTTCCATCGCATATAAATTTATGTGTTAATTGAGGTGAAGATGACATTATTTCTTGGTAGGTTTGGAGGTTCTTCTGATTTTGATTATTTTAAAGTAGTGTTCTTGAATTTAAAAATATTAAACTCCATAATAGGAAGTAAATATTTTTTTAATTTTTTTTGTCTCCTCATCTGTTCATTGTAGGTGATAGACAAATCTTTTGGTTTTGATACTGCTGTGGAAGAGGCTCAGAGGGCTATAAATGCTGCACATGTGGAGGTTGAGAGTGTAGAAAATGGAGTCGGAATTGTGAAGCTTATGGGTAGATACAGTGGTGGGTAGCTGAGCTGTGTGTGATAAGAGCTAATAGTTTCATCTCGTAACAGATTTGTGAACCTAAATTTCTTATTGCTATTTTACTGGTTGTGAATTCTCATAGGGTTCATTGCTATGCACGCAACCTTGGCTAGTCGAGACGTGGTAAGATACTTCAAACCCTGTGTGTGTGTGTAATACTATTTTGGTAATTCAAAATTTTGCATTACAGTTGTGGGTAATCTTGGGTATTAAAATTCAGTCACAATAGATTGAAGCATTTTTAAAAATTTCTTCTGAGACTTGTTTAAGATATTGTGATTGTACCCATTATCGTGTGTGCAAAATGGTGATTGGATTTTTCCTTCAAAACTCGTTAGGGTTAGTATTTGAAAATTCTTCTTGACTATTCCTTTAATCATGCAAACAAAATTTCTGTTTGTGGTTTGAATTCTCTGAAAGTGTGTTAACTGCACAACTGTTTCTACGAATAATGAGACTATTGCAAGTTCGCTAACAGTAATAAAATCATGACAGGATTGTTGTTTGATTCCGGAGTCCCCATTCTATTTGGAAGGCCAGGGCGGGCTCTTTGAATTTGTTGAACAGAGGCTGAAAGAAAATGGGCATGTAGTTATTGTGTTGGCTGAAGGAGCAGGGCAGGACTATGTTGCTCAGAGCATGCATGCATTTGATGAGAAAGATGCATCAGGAAACAGGTTACTTTTGGATTCTGGCCTTTGGTTGACACAAAAGATTAAGGTACCCAGCAAATGATTTTATATATTTCCTTACAGTTCTTATTGTCAGTTAAAATTGTCTTATTCTAGAAATCTATCATCAACGATACTTGATGAGTTGATGGTCTTCAAGTGGAGTTCCATTGGCTTTGTTGTTCTCTTAGAAAATGCCCTTGGTTGTTTCTGTTTATCTTCCATTTTAGTTTCTGTTAATAAGCGCTGCTGTCAGCGATTCTTCATGATCTTCATGGGGCAATTCGCTGGCTTTGTGGTTCTGCATTCATTAGAGGAATATGAGTTGAATGATAGGAAAAAGTAAATTAATTCAGCGTTTCTTTTTTATTCCATCATTTCATTAGTATCTGTAGTTGAATTGTATTTTTACCTTATTTTCAACAACATGATGTTCTTTTATCTGCTTTCTGGTCAAATAAGATATTTAGTGGTGTTGCTGGACCCAAAGAACCTATCATTTGTATATATTGTTCTACTTAAATACCTTGTCTGGTACATTTTCATTGTTTGTCCATACAGCTAAGGTGACATCATAGAATATATGATGGCAATTGGCACTGTTCTTGTGTCTGGATCTACTTTATTTTATAATTAAATGCTTTTTCGTTAAAAAGGGATGCTCTAGCAGCTCTGCGTTCACGGTTTTTTTTCCTGCTACAGTTTCTTACCTACTATTATTTCAATAATTTGAATTTAGATATATGTTTCATGTGGCAGGATCATTTCACAAATGTTCAGAAGATGGCGATCAATATGAAATATATAGGTATTTCAAAGTTCTACATGATACTAAATTTATTAGACCCATTTTCTGTTTGTTTTTAAAATGTTTAATTTTTCTACGCCCTTCAGAATGGAAAAATATCACTTGGCCACCATATAAAGACACCCTTCTGATAGGTTTTCATCTATGATTCCTTCCTAGATTCACTGAAAGACAACTTCATCCGTTGATCTGAATTTCTTTCTTTTTTTCCCTTTAAACTGATCAACTGTATCTATAATCCACCCCAAGAAAAATAATCATTTCTATAAAGCATCCAGTTGAGCACCAGCAATCTGTACAAGTCCACAATCTCATGGGAAATAAGACACTGCATTATTGTCTTATCTTATACGGACATCGTCGAGATTTATTTTTATTGTTATTGGGCTTTATTATTTATGTTTTCTATTATTGAGCTTGTAGTAGTGGGTTGACCCAACCCTTCACTAGTAAGTTAAGTTTTACTATTTATTGGATTTTTTCATTGTAGCTGAATTAGTTAATGATTGAATTAAATTAAAGCGGCGGCTACAACGTTTTTCTCCCCTTCCCCGTTTCTTCCCCTGCTTTCTTCTTCTTCTTCTATTTTTCTTCTGAGTTCTTGGTTGGAATTCCAATTCATCCTACATCAAATTTGGGATCAATGCTAAACTTGGGTAACAATTCATCACCTTCAACAATTCATCCAAGAGAAACGCAGCCTCAACAATTCAGAGCCAAACCTCGTTTCCTTCATCAAATTAGTTGTAAAATATATTCCAGTCAAAGTCCCCAAACACCAAAGTGACACACGCAGCCAACAACGCAACCGCCAACATCAACGAATCTGCAAACTACCAAAATCTGTACTTACCAAAGTTTGTTTACCAAGCAACCGGCACCCCTCTTTATAACAGTTTAACGCCGTCGGCCCAAGCCCTAGACAGTCACCGCTGGCCACAGATCCCACCCGAATCAACACGCCGGCTCCCCAATTTCAAAGCTTGTAAACTACCGAACAGGCAGATATAGAACCCAGCAGCCAAAGAACCATCATTGGCACTTCGTCACACTACCATTTTGTCTCACCGCACGACAGTTCTCTCACGACGTGGGCCTCAATTGCGGCTTGCTTTATTTCTGTTTATGGTATATTTGATTGGTGATACGGGCCTCGGTTTAGGCCCCTTATTTTATTATATAGTGTAATCCGCTTTAGTTTTTTTAAAAAATGTGAAAAAAAATAAAGTATTTTCTAGCGTTTTAGGTACCTCTTTTGACCTAGTGATTGACTCGGTTACTTCGACAAACTTGTAGTTTGGCTCGGTTACTTCGACGTACAATAAGTGAGCTACTATTTCTTTATCGTTAGTTTATATTACTGTTTTGTTTTAAATTGCATCAATTAGATTTTTGTGTTGCTGTTATTTTAATCTTTACCTACAATTCACATCCATAAATCCCGTTATATTCTCACTTTTATCCTACTTATTTTTAATTTCGAACCTTATTATATTCTCACTTTTATCTTATTTATTTTACGTGATTAAGTTGCTGGCTAGTATTTGACCCTTGATTTATTATTTTACACAGATCAGCGGTGTTAACTTGTCATATTTGAATCTACACAATCCAAAATAATAAAAATAAAAATAAAAATTTGTAAATTTAAATGCTCAGGTGGTTGTTTTCAGTTTTAAAACGAGTTGTTTATTGATCACTCCATACACTTCATTTAGCTGGTAGTACATTGCATGTAGTTACATAGTGGTCATCTTATAATATCTAGTTACAGTACACTTCATTTCGTTGGTAGTACGTTGCATACATTTGCGTAGTGGTCGTCTTATCATATTTAGTTCCAGTAACCTGACCTGGACCCATCCCAATTTGATGCCCTCACCCGACAATTAGCACACTAACCAACAGTAGCTACAAACTCAATTAGCGGTTGTCCAAATTGAGATGACTGCTACTCATGAAGAGAATAGTGACTTAATTGCTAGGTTGTCCACTTTTGAGCAAACCCCACATTCGACTGAAGTTGAAAACTCGGAAGCGTCCAGTAATAGGCATTATCGTCGTCCCCAATGAGGTTGCCAACATGTTAGACGTGACCGTAGGGAAGGACATCAAGTTCTTGAACGGGAGCGAGAACATCACCATCATCATACTCAGTCTCCTCCCCACGATGAGCGTTTATTTAGAAACATTAAATTAGATGCCCCAACCTTCGATGGTTGCTTAGACCATTGGGTATTTATTCAATGGGTTAGAGATATGGACCATTTCTTTGCGTGGTATGAGATCCTGGAATACCGGATAGTTCAATTTGCTAGTTTGAAATTAACTGGCACTGCTCAACTCTTTTGGGAAAGTGTTGAGGAACTCCAGGAGCGTCGTCGTGCTCAGCCTGTTGGGAGTTGGGATGAAATGAAGCGTCACCTTCAAGAGAAGTAATTAGCTCAATCGTATAAGGGTCATTTGTTGGATCAATGGAATACCCTCACGCAAGGTACTCGACCGGTGACTGAGTACGTCACTCATTTTGATGAATTTAGAATGAGATGTCAGGTCGTTGAGGATGAAGCCATGACCTTAAGCAGGTTTCGGCAAGGCCTCAAAGATGATCTTAAACGTGAGCTTGTCCTTCGG